TAGAAATATCACAGCAGGTTCCAAATTGTTGACAAACCAATAGATCTAAACGATGACATATAAAAAATTCAATGATACATACAGAGCATATCACGAATATTAAGATAATAAAGTTGCTCCAAATTATATTTCACTAGTCAACACAGTAACTTGGTTTCAGTAGCTTTAGTTGGCAAGTCAAAAAAGAAAAGAAAAGAAAAAAACTCATACGTATATGTTCAAGTGACTTTCTTCTGCGGAAAATGTACTATCATCCTAACTAAAGTTCTATATACACACCTTCGTAAAATTTGACTGTTATAATTCAATTGATAATCTCATCAAAAAACAAAGATAATTTCTTAGGTGAGTTCGATCTTCGAGACCTCCGCAAAAGAAGAACTCGTTTGTTGCTTGATAATGTTATCGAGAGACAAATAGGTATTGAGAAATGAACAAAAATATGAAGAAGATGAAAATGAACAGGCTGGTGCTGTCTAGCCGTGCCGTCATCTGCAACTCGATTGTTGGCGCTGATTTCAACTCATATCGCAGTGGTCCAACTTAGATCGTGGTGGTTCACGACTTAGATCGCGCTGGTCCGACTCAGATAGTGGTGGTTTGCGACTCAGATCGTGGTGGTCCGGCTCAGATCGCGGCATTCCGGCGACGGTGTGGTAGAGACAGAGGCGAAAGTGAAGCCAGCGGCGTCAGAGATGAAGACCGAGAGAGAAGAAATGAGTAGAGAGAGAGAGAGAGGAATGTGCACAAAAAGAGAGGGTTTGGTTTGGATAGAATGAAGATCAGAGAGAGAGAGAGAGAAAGTCAAATTTCTCTAATCTGATATATAGGTGTGGGTTTAGAGATCTTAGACATCAAAAAATAATATTGTAGATCTTTTCTATTATTAAAAATAGGAGAAAGACCTTAAACTAATTTTTCTACTTCTTTTTTTTTATATAAAATAAATAGGGTAAATTACACTGACACCTCAGATCGCGGTGGTCCGGCTCAGATCGCGGCATTCCGGCGACGGTGTGGTAGAGACAGAGGCGAAAGTGAAGCCAACGGCGTTAGAGATGAAAACCGAGAAAGAAGAAATGAGTAGAGAGAGAGAGAGGAATGTGCACAAAAAGAGAGGGTTTGGTTTGGATAGAATGAAGATCAGAGAGAGAGAGAGAAAGTCAAATTTCTCTAATCTGATATATAGGTGTGGGTTTAGAGATCTTAGACATCAAAAAATAATATTGTAGATCTCTTCTATTATTAAAAATAGGAGAGAGATCTTAAACTAATTTTTCTATTTCTTTTTTTTATATAAAATAAATAGGGTAAATTACACTGACACCCCCTGATGCTTATGTTTATTACAGTTCCCCTTTCACCTTTTGGAAATTACATCTCCCCCTGAGGTTTAAAGTTTCATTACAGATTTCCCCCTAGCCCTTTTTATTTTTTTAAATACCAATTTTACCCTCATTGGGTAAATTACATTGACACCCCTCACATTTTAGAAATTACAACTCCCCCTAAGGTTTAAATTAATATTACCAATTGCCCCCTCGGTTAGTATTAGTTGGAAAAAAAATTCATTGAAAAAAAAATTAATTGGAAAAAAATTAATTGAAAAAAAAAATGTGTTAGTAAAATTTTTTAATTTTTGTTTAAAAACCAACGTAAACTCATTTTTTGAATTTATGTTTTTTCCTCAAATTTACAAACTGAGATAACCATTTATAAATCAAAAAAATTATCAAGCAAGTTTTTATGACAGTTTTTTCAATTTTTGTAAATATGAATTGAAAACTGAAAATGAAATAGTTACCAAACAGGCTTCAGATGGTAAAAATGTCGTAAAATTAACAAATAATTAAATAAGTTACCAATATAAGAAATGACTTATCAAAAGATTCTTAAGCTATGTATGGTTTGATTTTTAGAATTTTTGCTAAAAAATAAAAAATTAATTTGGTTAAGAAATAAAAAATAAAAAAATAATTTTCATTTCGTTTTAAAAATATATATATATATATATTTTTTATTTTTTAACCAAATTAATTTTAAATTTTAAAATTTTTTCTAAAAATCAAACCATACATTGCCTAAGAATATTTTGATAAGTCATTTCTTACGTTGGTAATTTATTTAATTATTTATTAATTTTATGACATTTTTACCATCTGAGATTTGTTTGGTAACCATTTTGTTTTCAATTTTTAATTTTCAATTTATATTTACAAAAATTTTAAAAAACTGTCATTAGAACTTGTTTGATAATTTTTTTGGTTTATAAATGATTGTCTAAGTTTGTAAATTTGAAGAAAAAACGAAAATTCAAAAAATGAGTTTACGTTGGTTTTTAAACAAAAAATTAAAAATTTTACTAACAATTTTTTTTTTTCAATAATTTTTTTTCCAATTAATTTTTTTTTCAATAATTTTTTTTTTCAACTAATACTAACCGAGGAGGCAATTGGTAATGCTACTTTAAACCTTAGGGAGGGGATTGTAATTTCTAAAATGTGAGGGAGTGTCAATATAATTTATCCAACGAGGGTAAAATTAGTATTTAAAAAAGGAAAAATCGGTCTAGGGTCCCTCTCCCACTTTTCGTAATAGAAGAGACCCACAAAATTATTTTTTGATGTCTAAGGTCCCTAAACGTATATTAGAGAAATTTTAGTCCTTTATATTATCTTCATCATCTGACCCACGTCGACGACCACCTCCATGAAAACGCAGAGGCCACCATGGACGTCCCCTTCGACTATATTCCTTACCTGAAGAAAGCCTTCGACGGACTCGAGACTGGGTTGGCTGGCTTCCTTCAAGCTTCCACACCTGATTGGATCATTTTATGACTTTGCTCCTCACTGGTTGCCCCCTATCGCCACCAAACTCGGCATGGATGATAATGATAAAGACAGAGTCGATCCAGCGATTACCGAGTCGAGCTGGATATTCGGTGCTGACTCGGACAGTGTTTACTTCTTCGGCAACGATAGAGACAACAGTATACTGCGCGAATTTGGTTGGAATCTTCGGCCCAAGTCGGCTGTTAGACGAAGCTTTGCATTTGTGTAGAAAATGAAGTCAGGGATGAGGATCTGGTTTTGCATGGTATTTTTGGAATAGAGAAGATGGCCAGTGATGCCATTTGCTGGGTTCTCCTCCTCCTGGTAAGAGACTAGTCATGTTTGAGGTTTGATTACTCAGATTTTCTTCAACGAGAAATTATTCGGTGGATTAAACAAGCTCCTGGATTTTCTCTGGGTTGTGGAGTGCAGAGAAATTCTCTAGGTTGAGAGAATTTCTCTGGAAATATGTTTGGGAATTTTCTCTGGGTTGTGGAGTCCAGAGAAATTCTCTGGGTGAGAGAATCTCTGAAAATAAAGGGCAATGTGTTTGATTGACTTTGGGTTACTAGTTGATCGAGATGATGACAATGACTTGGCAAATGGTCATGATCCGGTGCTGAAGAAGTTACAGAACTCTCCCGTTAATGGAAGACTGAAGCAGAAATATAAAGGCCACGAATTGGATACGAAACACAATGGTAGAAAGAATTTTGAATTTTGTGCTTTCAGAGACCCTGTTTTATTTGTTGGACATCTTTCAAAAAAATCTGTATTGATCGTAGACAAACCATGGATGGAAGTGCTTAAAACTTTTGATGCCCCACCTGTTCACAGACATATTCATAGGACATAATTGCTTGTTGAAGGTGGTTTTCTAATAGCTTAGGTGGAAGAGAGAGAGTTCAAATGTAGGAGTTGAAGATCCCCTTTGTCTGAGAATTTCTCTGGGTCTGGGGAGGCCAGAGAAATTCAAAATTTCTCTAGACCAATTTTCTCTGACTTGAATTTTCTCTGACTTGAATTTTTTCTGGACTAATTTTCTCTGGATTGATGTTAAGGGACCTTAGGCATCATGAAAATATTTGATGTCATTTATACTACAAAATCATAATATCAGGGATCTTAAAAAAAATACCCCTTTAAAAAAATTAAAAAGGCTGAGGGGAAAATCTGTAATGAAACTTTAAATCTCAAGGAAGAGATGTAATTTTCAAAAGGTGAGAAAAAAACTGTAATAAACATAAACCTCAGGGTGCCAGTGTAATTTACCCAAATAAATAATTCAAATCATCTTAAACACTACCCAAGTGTGCTCTTCTAAGGGACACCGTTCAGCACATCAGTAAGTACATGATTGGTGTTGCTAATTAGATGCCCTTTTAGCAACGATAAATTAGAGAATAATTTTGTATGTTTTGCCTATTGTTTTGTAGTTTGAATCAAGCCAAGGAAGGCATTTTATCTGGAACCAGCTAGCTTTGAGAATGGATTTATGAATAAATAAATAAATAAATAAAATAAAATTTAATTTTTTATTACATTTTCTTTTCTATTTTTTTCTTCTCTTCACAAATTTTTTCTAAAATCTTAAATCCAAACACAGCCTAAAGATCATCTCCAACGGTATAATTATCTCATATTTTAACTAATCTGACTAATCTATTGCAAAAAACTTATTCCAACCCTATTTTATTTTGGAGAATTGTTCCATCTATTGACTATTCAAAATTTTGTATAATTATATTTTGTTGTTGCTTCTCTATATGTTACTATAAATTTGCACTGTACTCTATATTTTACTAGTTAAAATTATAAATAAAAAAAAGAAAAAAATGTTAGCCAAGTTTATATGAAAACCAGCTAAATAAAATTTAAAAAAAGCACTTTTTTTTACTCTCATTTTGTCTAACATGCTGGAGACGTTCCAGGACAACCCATGTTGAAGAAAAGAAGGAATTTTTTTTGAACAATAAGCTCACATGGTTTTAATATCCCAAAATTTGGTCTCTTCCACTAACAAATGGACACTATTTTATTTCTTCTTTTGTGGGTGGGTGTTAAGCAGGAAAAAAACAAAAAAATTTAAAGTATATATATATATATATATATTTTTGGGTTTGTGGCATACAAAACTTCACAAGACATGCTCCTTGCTTTGCTTCCATAAATATATATATATATATATATATATGCTCCTGGGTAAGGTACTAACTTCAGTTAAATAAAAGTAAACCAAATACATATACATACATCTGCATAAATTAATTATATATCCATCATCAAGCAAACATTTTCTGAAATATATTTGTCAACTATGCTGAGAGACCAACTTTCTTTTTGAGATACTCCAATGAAAAACCTTGCACAAAGCTTCAATATTGGTAAATAAATATGTTGGTATTGACTGGATTTCATTCAAATGTCCCCAGTAGAAGCAAGATAAGAAAGTTGAATGTTGTAGGCTTCTTTCAGCTCTCCCAATACCTCTGCTATTGTAGGCCTCCGAGAAGCATCTCTCTCTACAGACCTCGAAGCAATGAATGCTGTCTTTCTCATGCTCTCGGCGTCAAATGTTCCCTTTAAGTTCTCATCCACGATTTCAAAAACACCTGCCTGCAAGTACGGCTTTGCCTGCAGTTGCCAATAGAAACACAGATATACGTAGTTCATCCCAAAGGATTTTGGTAAATCTTTTAGAAAAGAATAAGCAAACACAGGTAATGTGTACAAGTGCAACATGATTGCAATAAAATTCGTCTCCACGAATAATGCCATCAAGCCATAACTTCTATGGAGGACACACTACAAATCTATCTCAAACTTTATTTAATAAAGGAACAAAAGAATAGTTGTGTTTTACTGTTTCCTGAGTAAAGAGACATACTCCAGTAAATTTATCCAATATCCCCAAACATAGAAATCCTTTAAAAAAAAAAGAAAAAGGATATGGATTATTTCCAATTGGTTTTTCATATTTGTTTTAATTGCACAAGAAATTGATAACTTAGAGCAAGGGTTCTTGTTAAGGGTTATTCATTTCAAGGGAATGTCTGTTTAGACAAGTAGTTATGGGACAACTGAAGGCTTTGATTCAAGTCAACGAAGATAATATGCCAAACCAGGATTTATACAAAAAAGTGTCTATATGTTTCCTGCTAAAGCTTTATATTGACAAACTATTGATTAGCAAGCATAATATAAAGAAATTTGAAGTTTACCCATAAGACCAAGTTGAAGGAATCTGGAGTTCCAGTGTGCCTTAGTGGTTCTCGACCACAAATGAGCTCCAATAGAACAACTCCAAAACTATAGACATCACTTTTCTCAGTTAGCTGTTGGGTGGTATAATATCTGTGCACATATGCGATAGGGTGAGAACAAGAGTCAAATCATTAAAAAATAAGATGTAAAAGCAAAATTCAAAGGCTTACTCGGGATCAAGATAGCCAGCAGTGCCCTTGACAACGGTGGTCACATGAGTTGCATCTGCCTGGGTCACTTGCTTAGAGAGTCCAAAGTCACAGACCTTGGCATTCATTTCAATGTCCATAAGGATATTGCTCGATTTCACATCACGATGTATGATTCTTGGATCGCTCCCATTGTGTAAGTAGTCCAACCCTTCAGAGAAATGAGGTTCAGTTTTTTTGTATTTTTGTTTTTCTCTTTAAAAAACAATGAATTTCTAGCCTGTCCTAGCTTTCCTTTCAAGTTTTTCCTATGTAACCTTTGGTTAGACGTTGAATACCTCTTGCAGCATCAACAGCAATTTTCAGTCTGCGAACCCAACTTAAGGTTACCCTTTTACTGCTTGCTCCTGAAGCGAAAAACTTATAATCAATAAATTGGAGGATTCACAAAATTAAGAAAACATTTTTAAAAAAAAAATCTGTTTTCTGGCCTTGCATAACATACCATAAAGGTTATCAGCCAAGGATCTGCCAGGTAAATACTCGTAAACCAGTATTTGTTGCTTTGACTCATGACAAAACCCTTCCAGTGATACAAGATTTTGGTGACAAATTTGTGACAAAAGAGACACCTATAAATAATCCATAAAATGAAAACAGAAAAGCAATTTTACAATTGACTCTTATCATCCAAAAATTAACGCACAAGTTCATAAATGAGCCAGCAGTTCATGAAAATACATAAAATTTCCCAACAATGTGACTTGCACTTCACTTTTAATCCCTTGTATTTGCAATTCCTTTGGACTATTGATGAACCGATATCTAATCATACAAATATATGACCATGGATGCAAGAAGGATGTACAATTTATATTGGGATCACTGAGGATAATATAATACTAACCAAGAAAATAAAATAAAATGATGTTTATTAACTTAAAACTGATTGCTATTCATTAACAACAATTTATAATGAGGATCTCCTTAACTTTAAGCTTCAAAGGTTCATAGCACCTAACTGACTGAGAAAGAAACCACAATTACATTAATCTATGACAGCTCAGCACTCTTGAGGAGATCTTTCAGCTTGAATACTTCGTGAAAATAATGGATCAAATAATATGCTAAGAAGGTTAGATGACGAACCTCATTGATAAAAGAATCAGCTCCAAGTTGGGATTTATCAAACCGCACTTTCACAGCTACTAATTTACCATCTGGAAGCTTTCCAAGGTAAACAGACCCAAAACTACCACGGCCTATCACCTCTTTAAAGTTGTTTGTAGCTGCTTTGATTTCTTTGTAGGAAAAGAATTTTGCGGCATTCCAGTTTCGCATCTCGGTTTCGGCTCCTAACCATCATTAAATTAGTGCTTCATAAGAGTAAGGCAATGATTTGACATGGTGAAAAAGATTTTGAAGTATTCGTACTTGCTGTATATGTGGCTTCAGTTTTCTTTCTCCTTGTATACAAGAATACTGAAATAGAAATAATGAAAAGAGCGAGTAAAGCTCCCCCAAATGCACCGAGTATAATTGCCAAATGATTATGGACATCATGCTTCTTCTTCCTGGTAAAGATGGTGACTTGCGGTGCCTCAATGGAAGGATTGTTTGAAACACCATTGCATGTCAATAAGGAGAAGGAAAGGCACAAATTCCCAGATGCCCTGTGGAGAATTAACGCTTCAAGATGCTGAAATCTAAGGCATGGACACAACAACAACAAAAATACCGATGTCATACCGAACTTCCAAACTTTCTCTGTTCAGTGACTCTGGGAGAGTGCCTTGCAAGTTATTGTTTTCCAGATTCCTGAAGATTGTGGAGGAAAGAAATGCATTAATGGTTGGTGATCCATCAATTTCTCAATCAAGTTTGTTATTAAGAACAATTTTCTCTTTATTATCATATGATCCGATTGAGCTCACTTACAAGAGATGAAGTTCCTTTAACTCCCCCAGGCTATCGGGAACTATTCCCTGTAAACTATTATTTTGCAAGTCCCTAAACAAAGAAGGCATTATTAGTATTACCTAGGTCCATGTACTGGAACAAGAACAAAAGTACATCTTTAGGTATTGAACATGTCTTGAACTATGTTACTATGTGACAATGTAATAAAACTTCAAAGACCAAGTTTCTCTTGGGATATTCAGAGAACTGAACTTACAAGGTTTGGAGGCTAATCAAGTCTTCCAAATCAAAACCGAAAGATGTTAGCTGATTGAAACTCAGGTTCCTGCAGTGTTCCATTATGCAATCTTTTGAGTAATGTAATCTATAAGAACAAAAGTTCTTTAATTACCCTAGTCAGGAGATAGGCATTACAGTTTTTCAAGACGTTGCAGGCTACCCAAGTTTTGTATCTCCCCAGCAAGTGAGGTATTATGCAAATCCCTGAAAAATGGCACCAGAAAATATTAATCTAAGGAACAGATTATGAAGTATGAAAGAAACTATTCATATCAAAGCAATGTTCTACTTTTGAAGAACTTACAGTTTTTTAAGATCCAACAAATCACCAAATGTAGGGCTGATTGACCTCAAGGTGATATCAGAAAGCTCCCTAAGACAAGGTGGAAAAGCCAATATCAATGACACCCGGGGACACAAAAAAAAAAAAGAAAAGAAAAAGAAAAAAGAAAACACGACAAATCGCCTTCACAATACTGGCATACAATGAAGTAACAAAATTTCCTTCACATCCAATATGATCCCATGGTGTTGGAGAGCATGGATCATCTTGCCATCCCAGATCTAATCCAGTGGATTGCTGAATAACCTGAAGGGCTGAAACTGCAAAGAGATATCGACTGTCAGGAGTAAACTGGAGTTGACAAACACACATAAAGCATGCAGAAGTAAAAAGATAAGGGCACCTGTAGTTGAGGAAGATTCTGAAGGAATGTCAACAATCTCATACACCTCAATCGCATTGATTTGAGGGTAGAATCTAATACTCTTCATTGTGATATTTAAGCTCTTGATTCCTTTCCTTGTAATGGACAGAGCACTCACTTCAGAGCTCTTCACAGTATAGTTTGATTGAACTACATCCCCATTAATCAGCATGTTGAATGAAGGGGACACAGGAAGAATCCCAGCAAAATAAAGGATAATGTAGTAGTCTCCTAGAGTATCATCAAGAGGCAAATTATAAGTCAAGACCTCCTTCCGAGCTAAAACTCTTGCAGTTTGAAGAACAGCAGCTGGAGGAGTCTCCTCCAGACTTGACAAATTGAAGGTTCTTTGTATTTTGAACCCAGATGATATATGAAATGGCAAAAAGTCCTGATCAGCATCCCATATTCGATCATACTGATCCAAAGGGTACCTGTTTTCACATAAATCCGTTACAATTTACACATATTTGAACATTTATGTAAAGTAATGAGTGGTGAAAGTTCATACCTTAGTGATCCATTAATGTATCCACAATTGATTCGATAGCTTTTTCGAAGGAACTTGTTGGGGAAATCTCCCAATCCAGTTCTGTAAGCTGATTCAGGAAGTGGCCGGACTTCAAGCGTAGAAATAACAGGAAAACCAGCATCTGGGATTGATTGCAAACATAACGGGAGAATGTCTTTATCAACCAGCCACACAAACTCTTCGGTCCATGGATCAGTATTAGCAAGGTTTATAGTAGTACTAATTGCTGTCCCAAGAGAAACAGAGAATCTGGGGGGTTTTGAGAGTCCATCATAGTTCTTATACACAAACTGGGCTCTAACAAGAACTGAGGATGAGACATTCTTTACAGGTAACCTATAACACTTTCGACTTGGAGAATCTGGGAAGAAACGGACGGGAACTTGAGAAGACGACATGCCTTCAACATAATTAACAGATGCACTGTTGCCTGTACTAATATAATCACTATCTGCGACCCATGTTATGTTAGTTGAATCGATGAAACTGGTTGTTCCACCACAAGATAAACTCAAGAAACCTGTTCCAATTGCCATCATGTAAGCAACATTTACATTTGACACTATTTAGATACATTAATGCAAAAATAAATAAAAAGAAAAGAGAAAAAAAAGATAGCACTGATAGAATAAGGAAAGCACTAATATATTCATATAAGAGGCTGATGAAAGCATAATTCGATGGTTATCATACATGTTTATGCGACAGAGGGAATTGATGATGGTAAAAATGGAGTTAAACCCACATAAAGATATGACTAATAAAAGGCAAGACCACAGAAATTAGAGAGGCTTTAGTTCAAATAGGTACGCAGTTCAAGTACCAAATGCTAATAATTTCATGTCTATTAAGTGACCAGAAATGCAATAAAAAAGGAAAGAACAAAGAGAACAATGGCAATACCATCTTGATCACTGAAAACAACTTCGTTGGAGGCACAGAACAGAATGAACCCGAACCAGAAAACCCAGCAGCACAAACCCATGAAATGGACAGCTCAAGAAAACCCAAGTGTCGATTCGGTTAAAAAATGGAACAACCTCTCAGACCCATTCAAACAAACACTGAATGGGTGTGAAGCGCTGGACTGAAAAAGAAGATTAGAATAAGAGAAAGAGAAGCAATGGGTACGGAGACAAAATGGGTTGGGGATTAAGTAACTCGAGAATTGGACTCTGTTTTGAGCTGTAAAATGGGTTGTAATGGAATTGTTTGAGTAGAGAGAGAGAGGTGGTGATGATGAAGGGATAGTGAGAGTAATGATCATGATCATGATCATGATTGTATTCCGTTAGGTGATAGTAAAAGTAAAAGTGATACAAAAAGAAAAGAAAAAAATGGTCGACTTGGTGATTGCAATCAAGAACACCGCCAACCTCCTCCTCCTCCACCTTCTCTCTCTCTCTACACTCTCGCTTTTTCTCTCTCTAAGGAGAATGGAGACCGAGCCGGCCGAGTTCAAAAAACTCAAAACAATTAATGAAGTTGTTTTTTTAACATCTTTCTCACAATTCCGGCTAACATGTAATATTTTATAATATTATAGTTGACAAAAAAAGGTGGGTGAGGGAAGTATTATGCTGGATAATTAAAAATATTAAGAGATATATTTAATGGTGGTTGGTTAAGCCTCCTCCTCCTCCACCTTCTCTCTCTCTCTACACTCTCGCTTTTTCTCTCTCTAAGGAGAATGGAGACCGAGCCGGCCGAGTTCAAAAAACTCAAAACAATTAATGAAGTTTTTTTTTTAACGTCCTTCTCACAATTCCGGCTAACATGTAATATTTTATAATATTATAGTTGACAAAAAAAAGGTGGGTGAGGGAAGTATTATGCTGGATAATTAAAAACATTAAGAGATATATTTAATGGTGGTTGGTTAAGGAGTACGAACACATAATATTTTAAAAATATTTTATAATTTCTTCTCAATTTTGGCTATAAAAAAATTATTATTATTATTTTTTAAATTTATTTATTTATATATGAGTAATGATATATCAATACACAACACAATATATACACAAAATATAATAAATTTTAATATTTAAATTATTATTTTTGAATAAATCTAATTCATGCATTAATATCTATGAATAAATTTCTAAATAAAAACTTAAAATATATAATAACTAGTGATTTAGAGGGTCTACTATAAATTTTAACTTAGGCTATGTATGATATAGGGACTAAAATTTTAGTACTTTGAAATTCATAATTCTATAAGATTGAGGTTAATTACAATAGCAATGTTAGGTATTATAAAAAAAAATTTATGAAAATAATCATAAAAGTTTTGTGACTCTTGAATTACACTTAGAATAAAGTACCACACACTAATCAAAGTAATCCAAGAATTATAAATCTTTTATGATCATTTTCATAAAAAAAAATTTATGATCCCTAACTTTTCTCTAATTAAAAATAATAATAATATATGACATAAAGTTAAGATGCTTATAAGACCAGCAAAGCATTCAGGAAATGATTCATTCATTTTTTTAACTTTGCTTTCAAATTCATTCTAACTATCCATTGCTTGTATCTTTCTCATGAAGGGAATAAATTGCTCCCAATCATCAATCTTAGAGAACACACGAATATAATCAATCTTGTTACGACTTTTTACCAATTAGCATCCATCCATGATGAAGCTATAGCTTCTTTCCTAGCTTTTTATTTTTATTTTTTTCACTTAGGAGGTAGTAATTATAATTAGTCTACTGTAACAAAAAAAATTGTAATTAGTCTCTCCATCCAAAAAAATTATCTAAAATTTCACATTTAGAGTGGAGATTTGATCTCCTTGTCATGCATCACTATGAATTATCATTGGCCTTAAATTTTCATCAAACGCAAAAAATTCTTTCTTAGTTTTTGAAATTATACTCTTTTGTTAGAGTGCCAAATAAGAGGAACAATAAAAATAAACAAGATAAAAATAGTCATATTTGTGTTTTACATGAATAACTAAATTAATGGTTGCATCTTTTTAAGTTTGAAATTTTGGTGATAAGTGCTCGAAAGGGTTTTCGGCAATTTTAATTAGAAATTAAAATGAGACTCAATCGCCGGTTCAGGTAGGTCCGAATGGTTTTGTATTCTTTTAAGTGAGAGGATTGTAATACAAAAATAATAAGCTGAAATCATTGAGTTGTGAATGAGAATTGTCTCATAAAATGGGCATCAATAAAGTTGGGTTTAGATTTGAACTTAGTATTAGTTTGGACTGAGGCTTGACTTGTACTTGTGCATGTACTGGGTTTGGTCTTAGACTTAGACTTAGACTTGGACTTGGACTTGGACTTGGACTTGAATCTGAACCTAATCTTGAGTTTTGGGCTGAGCTATGCTAAGCTTAAGTTGTGCTAAGTTTAGTTTGTGCATATGTTTAAGATTGGGCTTGGATCAAGTTGTAACCCAACACCCCCATCTATTTTTCAACTCGCTTAGTTTAATTCTCAAAAATTTTACATTATATACACATTATGATTTATAAAATGGTTTTGGAGTTTTGAACTTTTGTAACTCTAGCTCTAATGGCTAGAATTGATGACATTTGATGACCCCATTAATGTTAGCTTTCATGGCGAATGCTCTACCTTACTAGTGTAAATAGAGACCTTTCACCTTCAACTTAATAGGTTGTTTTTAGAGAGGTTTTGTGATGGAAAATGAGATGATGTTTGAACTAAAAAGTTGGAGATAATTTACACCAAATAATATTTTTCTTATCTTTTTTTTGGTTAGTTTCTTCTTTGGTTCTTGTTAGAGAGAGTGCAGCCATTGTCAAGTTCACCGAAACTATTCAAAAAGTGCTTATGCATTAGCTGGTTTCGATCGTTGTATCCTGGGAGACAGACGCCAGTTTACCTCCAGCATCCATCGAGAGGTGGTGAATCTGTTTTAAGAAAAATGTAGTACCACATAGGTTTCGATTTACTTCTTTTCTTATTATTTGTTCTTTCTTTAATTTTTTAGAATTTCGTTTACCTCAACGAATTCTAATCTTTAGTTATCCATGTTAATAATTTATTCTTTTAGTAATGTAATCTAATCTATTTCTATATTTAGTCGTGTCATTTATTCTGTATTTTATCATTTAATAAAAAAATTATTTTATCATTTCTATTTAATTTATTTTATATAATTTTCTTATATTATTATAAAAAATTACCGACAATAAGATCATATATGTTACATATTCTGATCAGGTTGTAAAAATATACACAAATGCAAAAGTGATGTCCTTTTTTTTGAATGTATTATTGGATAAAAATATTAATCGGACGCCAATGTAAGAAAAGACAAAACAGAGATATGTACAAAATTATTAAAGGTAACACTCTCCTCTAAAATTGACCAACAAAATGAAGATTCACAAAACACTTTCTAAGTAATAAAATAAAAAAATAAAAATTTGTTTGGAACTTCAAAAGTTCACTTATTTCTTCATCTTCAAAAGACACCACATTAGCACAAATGAGCTACCCGAATTCACACCAAACAAATATAAGAGAAAAGTCACAGCAACGTCAGTCAGTAGTTCCATATTGACTGGGTTATGCTACTAACTAAAATTGTCTATTTATTTATTTACTCATTCTTTCTTTTTCTGTTTTTAACACTTGAGATTCAACACACCCTTTAGAGTATTCTACCAAATTCTACAATATTGGACAATTTTAGAAGACTCTAGAAAATTCTAAGAAAATCCAAAAAGTTTTAGAATATTTTAAAAAATTTGGAACATGAGAGAATCTTATAGAAATTTAAACAAATTTGAAACTATCTAAGTTGTATAACGACTTTTTTTTTTAAATAGGCTGTTTGTAAAGGAAACATTTTTTATTATTCTTATTTGAAACAATATTCAAAATTTAAAATTAAATGTCTGGATAATTAAAAACATTAAGAGATATATTTAATGGTGGTTGGTTAAGGAGTACGAACACATAATATTTTAAAAATATTTTATAATTTCTTCTCAATTTTGGCTATAAAAAAATTATTATTATTATTTTTTAAATTTATTTATTTATATATGAGTAATGATATATCAATACACAACACAATATATACACAAAATATAATAAATTTTAATATTTAAATTATTATTTTTGAATAAATCTAATTCATGCATTAATATCTATGAATAAATTTCTAAATAAAAACTTAAAATATATAATAACTAGTGATTTAGAGGGTCTACTATAAATTTTAACTTAGGCTATGTATGATATAGGGACTAAAATTTTAGTCCTTTGAAATTCATAATTCTATAAGATTGAGGTTAATTAGAAATAATAATAATATATGACATAAAGTTAAGATGCTTATAAGACCAGCAAAGCATTCCGGAAATGATTCATTCATTTTTTAACTTTGCTTTCAAATTCATTCTAACTATCCATTGCTTGTATCTTTCTCATGAAGGGAATAAATTGCTCCCAATCATCAATCTTAGAGAACACACGAATATAATCAATCTTGTTACTACTTTTTACCAATTAGCATCCATCCATGATGAAGCCCATAGCTTCTTTCCTAGCTTTTTATTTTTACTTTTTTGACTTAGGAGGTAGTAATTATAATTAGTTTACTGTAACAAAAAAATTATAATTAGTCTATCCATCCAAAAAAATAATCTAAAATTTCACATTTAGAGTGGAGATTTGATCTCCTTGTCATGCATCACTATGAATTATCATTGGCTTTAAATTTTTATCATACGCAAAAAATTCTTTCTTAGTTTTTGAAATTATATACTCTTTTGTTAGAGTGCCAAATAAGAAGAACAATACAAATAACCAAGATAAAAATAGTCATATTTGTGTTTTACGTGAATAACTAAATTAATGGTTGCATCTTTTTAAGTTTGAAATTTTGGTGATAAGTGTCGGAAAATAATGGGTTTTTGGCAATTTTAATTAGAAATTAAAATGAGGCTTAATCGCCGGTTCATGTAAGTCTGAACGATTTTGTATTCTTTTAAGTGAAAATATTATAATATAAAAATAATAAGCAGAAACCATTGAATTGTGAATGAGGATTGTCTCATAAAATGTGCATCAATAAAGTTGGGTTTAGATTTGAACTTAGTCTTAGTTTGGACTGAGTCTAGACTTGTACTTGTGCATGTACTGAGTTTGGTCTTAGACTTGAACTTGGACCTAGCCTTGAGTTTTGGGCTGAGCTATGCTAAGCTTAAGTTGTGCTGAGCTTAGTTTGTGCTTGTGTTTAAGACTGGACTTGGATCAAGTTGTGACCCAACACCTGCATCTATTTTTCAACCCATTTAGTTTAATTCTCAAAACTTTTACATTATATACACATTATGATTTATATAATGGTTTTGAAGTTTTGTAACTCTAACCCTAATGGTTAGAGTTGATGACATTTGATGACCCCATTGATGCTAGCTT